ACTGCGTAGGCCCGCTTATCTATCTATCTCGGTGTGTGCTACCTCCCTCCTCCAACCTCGTGCCTTCACCACTTCTCATCCGCCCGTCAATCTTCCGCCTCCATCCACCCCTGAACATGCCTGTGTCTGCCCTCCATTCTATCTACACCTGATTCCACCTACCTACGCCTGTCTGTTCGGTCTGTTCGCGTCTCTCTGCACCCCTGCCTGCATGCCTCAAAGCCCGTCGACCAACAAGTCCTTTCCTTTTGTCTGTTTTCATTGGTATCTTGCCACTACTGTCCACATGCTTTCAAAACACGAATCAAAATTGCTGTTCTAGAAAGGATCAAATCGACCTCACCTCTCTGTCTCGCTTTCCTTCTGTCTCCTGTTGAGAATAGCACCTCCAGAATAATTTCCCCAGCAAGGATCTTCATCGATATTAAATGAGAAGGGCAAATAGTAAAAAGCCAGGAGGAAAACACATGAAGGTTTGTTTACGGAAAAAAACAAGAAAGTATGATAAGGACTAAAATGGAAAACAGAAAAATATGGACTTCAGAAATAGTCACAAGCTTAGGACAGAAATACAGAGCGATTTATAAAATAGAAAATTGCAGGGATGAACAGACAACAAATGGTAGTTGAATATGAGTAGGAGACGAACGAAGAAACACAAAATGTGAGCAAAAAATGAAGAATTTCAAGAGAGGAATTTGAACAGTTGAGGGTCATATCTGACGTTAGTCTCAACTTACAGTTGAATTTTGAGACGATTAAAAAATTTCGAACTCTTGAAGCAATAGGCTGGAAAGCGCCTGTTACAGAGACAATTTGCTAGAGCATTAGCTATGACGAAAGATGTGCATGAGAACCAGAAAAGCCAAAATGAGCAAAGAAGTAAATGGAGTACATCATGAATATAAAATCACAATTGGTCTGAATGCAGAATTTGCTGATGTGGACGGGATCCTCCCACTCTCTCGTTCTCTCTCTCACACCCTCCCTTACGCAGGTCTTTCTCACTGCCTGGTTCAAGGATTGCCTCTGCTTACAGTTCGAACACGGTCAACCGTCGCGCCGCATTTTTCCAAAAATTCGGATCTCGCAGGGGCGTGGGCGGAGACAGCGAGACAGCTTACAGACAGACCTGGACAGAAGAGCACCCGGACGGACAGATACACATGGGAACGAAGAGACAGGACAGACGCGGACTGACACCCACCCGGACGCAGCATGCCTTGGAAGAGGACAATATCAACTAGGACACGAACCGACTTGGACAGACACTCATGGGACATGGCATGCATGGAATAAGGACAACACTCACGCAACCAGACGGGACTCAAGAACCTGGGCAGCCGTCGAGCCTGACTGAAAAATCTTCTCCCAATGTACTCGGACCACGATCGCCCTTGTGGATCTGAAAAAGCATGCCCGAAATATTAGGGAGACGATCAAGTCTCCCGACAATGTCAGGTCGACGCCGCAACGCGGCGGCCACGCCCCTTCGCGCGCGGCCGATTGGCTATGGGCGCGGCGAGACTGGCATATTCGCATCCGTCCACGATTTTCTATCTTATCCCACATCGTCTTCGTTTGGCTGCTTTGGGCTCTTTTAATCTTACGCTCATGCTGAACGCAAGTTTTTATTAGGTCGGTCCATAAGTCTTGCAACAAACTGGCCGAATTTTGAATTTAATATTTTCATTATCTTTTTGTTCCATTCATCCGGCATGCTACCCTCCATCAATATCTACAACCTATTGCCAACACACTAGTAGCTGCTCGATGCCTCCCTTGTAGGACTCTACTGAATTCTGATCGAAGAAAGATCAGATGTCGATTTTGACATCATCATAGTTAGGATGAGCTTTCTTCTCTAGGAGATGGTTTGGAGAGGGGAGCAGAAGGGCATTATTTGGCACGAGGTCAGGGCTATAACGTGATACGGAAGAACTCTCCGTCCAGAGTCTCGAAATTTTCCTGAATTTTCTTAGCAAGAGGTGGTTCAACGGTGTCATACAAAAGCAAACTTTGCCTTGTTTTTCTTTCGTATTAAAAGCGTTGCATTCGAGCTGTGGATAGTTGACTTTCGCGTTGACTGCGACATCTACACGAGGGGTTTCCAGAGCTCAACTCCTCTCGTGTTCCACCAAAAATCCGAGAAGGCCCTACTTGGACGAGGTTGAACTTAAGCAGTAAGATCTCCCGAAGCGTTTGAGCTCACACAACCTTCGCTTGTTCCGT